TCTTGGATATGGACATCAAAAATTTTCCACATTTCTTACCATAAAGTCCAAAAAATGAATTTATGGGCTTTGGGTAGACAAAGGTGGGTTTGAATCCTGACTTTACTCTGCACTGGACAAATTATTAGCCTTCCTGAGCCTCGGATTCTTAAAATGTACTACAGGGTTACAATAGCACTGTCTTTGAAGAATTGTAAGGATTAGTCACGAGATATTCTATTAAAACACTTAGCACTAGGAGTTAGAGGTACAAATTACCCGAGTAAGAGGAAATAAAGAAGGAACACCGAGAGGCCTCTTGTATCTATGCCATTCTTTGTCTGCAGAGAGGGGAAAAGAAGTCTGATGCCTGTTGGTGAATTTATTGCTTTGTGGTAGAATGGATTTTCCTAAAGCTGTTTCCCTCTGATCATTAATAATCCCTGTACAGTAAAGGGCTATTGTTCTTCAGTGTGAGTAAATAACCTTTTGGAGACACTGCTTATCTTCAGGCCACAGCACATACTTCTTACTGGAAATACAGTGCAGGTGCCAACACCAAAGGCATGACTAGGCTTTCCTTCCTATTTTTCTTCCTTTATCTCTTACTCCTTGTTTATCCTTTGGTTGCTTTTCTCCTAGATCTGTGACACTTCCTACTGTTTGGCACCAGTATCCTATACAATAGCGTCGTTACTATAATCAACCTTCAAGTGAAACTGGGCACCACGCACCCGTGGTCCTCTGCCTTCCTTCCCTTCCATCAAGCAACACAAACACACACACACACACACACACACATACACACACAACCACATACAGAGACTTGTTTCCTGTCCTGGATTCAGTTTTTGGTTACTAGAATTCAAAAAGGGAAGTGTAATGCCACGTACTTTTGCAAATCTCAGGATGTACTTGTGGGTGTGCTTCACCCTACCGCAGCTATTCTCTGAAACAGCATTTTTTTTTTTTTTTTTTTTACACACAGAAAGCGATGAGAATATTGGTGTGTCAGAGACTTGGGGCAGGGAGGAAAGGTACTTTTATTTTACCTAAGGGAAATGAAACTCTCTGTAAAGGGGCAAAACTGAAATATCCAAAAGACTTCTAAACTAACTATCCCAAATAAGATCATAGGAGGTAAACATACCCATTCTAAATACAGATGTCCCTCAACTTGGACCTGATAAATTTGTCATAAGTTGAAAACATCTTAAGTGGAAAATGCACGTGTTATACCTAAACTACCATCATGGCTTAGCAACACAGCACAATGTGAAGTCTTGGTTCCTCACCCTCATGGCTGAGTGGGAGTTCTGGGTGGCTAGCAGTGGCTGCCCTTCACTGGGAGAGAGTACTAGATGACATATTGCTAGTTCAGGAAAAGATAAACATTCAAACACATATCACTTTCACACCATTGAATTCAAGAAATCCTAAGTTAAACCATCCTTCAGTTGGGGCCCATCTGTGTATTCCATCAGCACTGGAGTGCACACAAGATTATACTTGTGAAGGGGAACTCCAATCAGACCACTGTAACCAAGCTATATTGACCAATAGACATACAGGCTATTTACACTGTAACCAAGATATATCAACCAATAGATATACAACTCTTATTCCCTTTAGGGATAGAAATTCTAAGTGAATATCAAGTCACGGTTCCTCAATTCAAAAGAAATAGGAATATCTAGTTCCTTATCAGCATTTTTTGGGGAGACACTGGGGATTGAATCCAGGAGGAGTCAATCCTTCTAAAAATATTTTGAAACAGCATCTTGCTAAATTGCCCAGGCTGGCCTTCTCCATCCTCCTGCCTCAGCCTCCTGAGGCATAGGCAAGAGCCCCGTCATGCTTGCTCCTTATCAGCACATTTTAAGAGATAAAGACAAGCTGAGGGTCAGTCAGAGGTGGCAAAAACCAGTTAATTAAGTAGGTGATATCAAAGAAGTACAGGACAGGCTGGAATCAGACCAATGCTGAAGATCAACCAGTCATTCATAACTCCCAAGCCAGGATTTTCAACCTTTTATAGCAGCTAGGGAAATTAAGAGAGCCAAAACATTAATCTAAATTCCTGTTTTGTGATAATTCTTAGAAACTGGATTAGGAAACTGATAAACGGGTTAGATTACATTAGATACAGCTGGAGCTTTTTATTAGCAACTAACCTTAGCTCCAACTATTCAAGAGAAAACATCATCTGCACAAGGGACCATGGCTTCAGAACATTTTCCAATCCACTACCAAATGAGCAACTTTTCTTATCTGTAGAGATACTTCAGTTTCTAACCAGATTAAGTCCCTTATGAGGAGGAGCAATGATTGTCCAGTCTTATGATATGAATGATAAGCAGTCAGAGTATCCTTAAGTTCCCCCAGTTTCAGCACTGATCAACAAAACTTTCAGTGATGAAACTGTTCTGTCTGGGCTTGGTGGTGCATGCCTGAAATCCCTGCTACTTGTGAGGATGAGACTGATCAAGGCCAGCCTGGTTAACTTAAGAGAGACCCTGTCTTCAGAAATATTTGTTCTTTCTGCCTCATCCAACAGGATAGACATCAGCCACATGTAGCTATTGAGTGTTTGAAATATAGTGTGTCCAAAGACCTGAATTGTTATTTCAAAGTCACATGTAACAAATAGCTATTTTATGTATGTATATACATAAAATAGCTATTAGTTTTATATATATATATATATATATATATATATATATACACACACACACACACACACACACACACACATACATACACATACACACATACATACACAGACAGCAGAGCTCTAGACCAAAAAATGCAAATCAAATGTCCACAGGGGTCAGCCAGGCACTGGAAGGGAAAAGAGGCCTTCAGCATTCTTGGGGAATAAGCCACACAAATGGGGAAAGCAGTTCTTAAGCTTTAACAGACTTGCTGTGTAGGAACCTTAAAGAACCTCAGGCTAGCGTCAGATTGTTTGATTTTTCAAATGAAGTTGAAAAATCTGGATTTTGATGCCCAATGTTGTCAAGTTAAAGAATTTACATTACTTTGTGGGCCCAAAGATATGTTTGTAGGCAAAATGTGTCCAGTCATTTTGTAACTTCTAATCTAGGCCAACTATTTTGGCTCAAAGGGCCTTATCCAAGGCTACTCTGCTGGTTAGTAGCAGATTAGAGATAGAAACCTTCTGATTCTTCTTCTGATATCTTTTCTACTAGATTATGAGATGGAACATAATTGTGATGATGCTAGCAGCAGCAGCAAGCACAAGAACCCCTTTGTCAAAAGCTACTAAATTCCATAGCTGATAATATATGAACTTTGTGTTCCTGTCCAGTAGAACCACATGTTGTACCCTATGGGCAAGGCTCTGTACCAGGAGTCAGGAAGACAGAAAGATGAAATAGTCCAGGAGAAAGACAGACATGTAAATAAACCTTTATCAAAGTCACCTTTTCTATAATGGATGCAAATTACCTGTGCATAAGTCCAAAAGCACTGACAGCTGGGAGAGGAAGGAAGGATTTGAGCCAGACCTTTGAGGATGCATCTCACATCATGAGGGTGGGTCCCATTATTCCAGTATATTAAGGGGGACTTCTTCTTTTATCTTTGATGTCTTGTCCATATTAAGTCTCCTTTACTGGTCTCTCCCTCTCTGGGTAATCTCTAAGTGTTACAAGCCCAAGGAGTTTGGGAATCTCTACCCTGTTCCTAGGTGACCTAGGAACAGACTCCTCCAAAACACACACACACACACACACACACACACACACACACATTTATTATCTCCAATTACTACTTTCCCCCTAACTTGAATACCTAACTTCTCTCAACATCTTTCTCTGGATTGTTAACAGATTTTTCATACTTAGCTCTGTTCAGGAGAACTTAACAACATTCTTTTCCAAACTCTTTTCACTTTGGGAGTGATCCCTGGGTTCCACCCTCTCCCACACATTTCACATCCAATTGGAAGCAAGTCCTGCAAACTCCAGAAATACTCCCAATCTATTTCTCTCTCTTTCCACAGTGAAGGCCCTTTCAACAAACACTACTGACACCTCTCCCTTGGCCTAAGGCAACAGCCTCTGAACAGGTCTGACTACCATTCTCCATCCAGCAGCCAGAGTGATTTTTTTTTTTAATTATTCTTTTAGTTGTCGATGGACCTTTATTTATGTATATAAGGTGCTGAGAACTGAACCCAGTGCCTCACACATGCTAGGCAAGCGCTCTACGCTACCACCCAGCCAGGCTAGAGTGATTTTTTTAAAAAAAATGTAAATCAGGTCAGGTCACTACCCTACTTAAAATCCTTTGGTACCACAAAAGCCAAATCCTTGCCTTGGGCAAAAAGGTTTTGCCAATTCTTCAGCTTCAACACAGAACACTGCCCATTTCTGCTTCAACCACGTGGTCCTCCCACCAGCTCTTTTCTCCACCTAGAAAGCACATTCTCTGTCTTCCTTCTTCTCTTGGATTCTCCCCAAACCGTGAACTCCTCTGACAGTCTCACCCTATGTAGAGCAGCCCTCCCACCATCTTCCATCATTGCACCGGGCATTTCTCACTTGTGGATATCTTCTGAATTGATTGACTTGTTCTCCTACACTAAAATGTTCTCAAGTCTGCTGATCAGGGAGGTACGACGCTGTCTCTCAAGTGTCCTACAAAGTCTCCGTTTCCGTGCGGGAGCTAGTTTAGGCCGACCTGCTAAGCCAGGCGCCTCTCGCCCCCCAAACTGCCCCCGTCTTCTCGCATCTACATTCGGGAATCCAAAAGGTTCAGAGAAGTCTCAGAGGGACCCCCAAACCAAGCCTCCCTTTCCTCGCCCATTTCCCGGAGCCAGGTCCCCGAGGCTAGTGGCGATGACACCAAGTCGCCCTCGCGAGGCTGGGGTCACACAGGCGCGTCTCCTAGCGACGCCGCACCCGCACCCCCACGGCATCCCTGCCTCTGGGGAGCCAACCCCTTCCCCCCGGTTCCCGGCGCCAGGAGTCAGAGTCTCCATCCCTTACACTCACTCTGCGTCAGTCCTACCTTCCCCCACCCACAGAAGCGCCGCAGCCCCTGGCTGGCAGGGAGGAGGCGGCGCCAGGAGGTTTGCAGAGCGGTGGCCGACCGAGCTCCGGCAGGTCGGGTAGGACAGGCCGGACCAAACCACCGGGAGGACTAATGTGGGAGCATGAGTCCCAGGTCAGGGGCAGTCTCGAGCTTTCCTAAACTTCCAACTATATGCCGTTCTTCGTCGCATCTAACAATGTACCCAATCTCATACTCTTTGTTTTTGACCCTTCACCCCTCTCGCTATCCTGCTCCCCCATTCCAGTCAAAAAATGGTCCAGCCCAGCTCCATGTAGCCCTCCCTCCTGATGGTACGTCTTTGCCCTTACTTGGCTACGGCTTCGTACGTCTTTGCGTACGCCGTGACGTAATCTTCCACCCGTTCCCTCCCTGCCCCTCTCCCATTCTCCCTCCTGGAGCTGGCGGCCGGCGGGGTTACCGGAAGTGATGATGCAGGAGGCGATGGAGGGGGCGGGGCTTCGGGGCGGCCGCCGCCGGTGGGCCGCAGATGAAGAGGAGGCGGCGGCAGTGGTGGAAGAAGAGGCGGCGGCGGCGGGGGTAGGGAACCTGGAAACGCGAACGGGGATGGTAGGTGGTTTGGACCCGCCGAGCCGCCGTCGTTTCCAGAAAGGGTTTGACTGGAGGAACCTCTGGAGCAGCTGTGAGTTTGGGGAGGGGGGAGTTGAGGAAAAGGGGGGAGCATTGCGAGATGCAGGGGCGGGGGTTGGGTTCCTTCGAGAAAAGCGGGGTGGAAGGGGAGGAGTGGAAATCAGAGCCTTGTCTGGACTGGTCCCCCAGGAAGAAGAGGCTGTGAGGGGAGCCTGTGGCGTGTCAGCCGCAGGGCTCAGAAAACTTGCCTACTGTCCCTGCCTCCCACGGCCAGCACCCCTCAACCCAGGGCCTGGGGGTCTGGGGCCGGAACTGCCCTGGAGGAGGTGCAGACTCTGGTCCTAAGTCCCGGGTGAGCGCTGAGAGGTAGGAGCCCGAGGGGGAGACGGTGGGTGAATCTCCAGCTCCCTCCGCCCTCATTTCCCTCCCCACCCCCATCCTTCTCTTTAATCGTTAACAGCCCCGGAATTAAGGGGCTCCGACCTGAAGGCCTTTCTATGCACCTTTACTATGAACGATAACCATCTGTGCCTGAGGTAATGGGGCTGGAGGCTTTGCCTGTATCCTGTATAGGAAGTGGGATGGGGTGACAAATGTATTGTTTTTTCCAACCCCCGCTTACCCCCATACACACCCCTCGTTTCCACTTTAATTCTCTCTGGCTGAGTGTCAGCCGTGGTCCCCCCCTCCCCCGCCTTTATGGCACTTAGTATCTTGGTTACCTCTTTTGAATTAGGTGTTCAGCTTCTATCCCAGATCTTAACTGCAAGCTTTGTAATACTTCAGTCACAGGCTGTGCATTGGGAGTACTTCTCAGCGCCTTGTAGCTTCCTATTATAAGGAGGAGCAATTTCTTTTATGAATAGTGGAATTCTAAAGCCTTTGCAAGGAATCCTAAATGGCATCATAGCCCAGGAATCAAGGTCTCTTGCTCTAAATACTTTTTGTGTGAGGAATTTACATGTTGTCAACTCTTTCCAGAATGATTTGATGTTAGGCTAATTCTGGATTTCTCTGTTTCTCTCCACCCACACTTCATGATGCACTTCAGAGAACAGAAAACCCCATATTACTTTTTTGTTTCTACAATTGGACAATGGCTCTTTTATCTTTTTCTCCATTTGTGTCTGGCACACACGTCTTCAGTGACACAATCGACTTGTGCTGATTTTCATCTTATTTATTTAGCTGATTCTTTGTGTATAGGTGGTCTTAAATGAGACATTGTGATCTGTTCAGTTTTGTTGTAAAGAAGAATATAAACCAGTAATGAGTGTGGAAAAAAAAATGTTCGAAGAAAGCAAATAACTGGAAAGATGTCTTTGATATTCTGTTGTTTAAAAAAAAAAAATCATCAAGTAGCACTCCTCTAGCCTGTCATGTGGATTTCAGAGTGAAGTATAATGATTCTTGTTTTGGTGTCCGTCTTTTTTTTTTTTTTAAGAACTTTGATAGTGCCTGAATTTTAGGTGTCCTTTGATTAGAAAGTGTGTATAAATCCTGTCCCTCTGTAACTGAGCTTGATATGCATTTTGCTAGAAGAATTATCGTAACAGATGTTCTTCTGATGCTGGAAAGACATTCCTATTCCATTTATCAGGTCTTTCAGGCCTGATAAAACAGAATGCTTAATGCCTTGATTGTACAACTAACAGTGTGCTTAGATGTTTCATGAAAGAATAACAAAAGAATGACTACTGTTCTTACCTTAATAAATTTGGAGCCTTGTTTGCCATTGAATGAAAAGTCCAAAATTCATTCATTCAACAAACATTTATTGACTGGCTACTAAGTGCTAACCAGTGTACAAAGGTGAACACAAGCAAAAGTCTACTCTGTATTGGAGCTTAATTGAAGTGGGGGTGGGGATAGTGAGATAGTACATAAAGAAATCTAATTTTGATTAAGTGCTAAAGAAAATGAATGTTGTGATAGAAAATGTTTGTAATGCAAATCAACAAACATCTTTCTCTCTTTTTTTTTTGGTTCTGAACCCAGGGGCACTTTACCACTAAGCTGCATCCCCATCCCTTTATTTTTTAATTTGAGACAGGGGCTCACTAAGTTCTTCAGGTAGGGCCTTGCTGAGTTGCTGAGGCTAGCCTTGAACTCCTGATCCTCCTACATCAGCCACCTTAGTTGCTGGGATTGCAGGTGTGTGCCACCACATCTGGCTTCAAGAAAGATTTTTCTGAGGTGATACTTAAGCTGAGCTTTAAATAAATAGCCAGCCATGAAAGATAAGGGGAGGAGCCTTCCAGGTTCAGCGAATGGTTGGTGCAGAAACTAGCTGGGAATGAACTTGGCAAGTTCCAGAGACTGGGAAGAAATTGGTGGAAGGAAGGGGAAGAGGGCAGTAATAGCCAGAATAGGGAGCAAAATGTTGAGTAAAAAGAGAGGGTCAGAGAGGGGGAGGTAGGGCTCAGAATAGGTAGAAAAATAAAGGCTAAAAGGATGAGGAAATAGGTAATGAAGCTCCTTTTTGATTAAATCTGTTACATTTCTAAGGGTCTTATCACTGTTTTTGCAGGTACTGTTGGACTATTGTAACAAAAAGTCACCCAGCTGAGAGTGGGAAAGGAGAAGGCACTTGGGATGTTCAGTTGAGGGCATACTTTAATGCATGCTAGTATGTGAATCTTTCATCTCTGTGAATTTAAGGTTGAAGGATCAGGCATGTGTTAATACATGCCCTGTTGATCTACAGAGATGACCATGAAGATCCAACTTTAAAGCGGTTTTTTTGTGGGGAGGAAGACTTTATGTTGCAATAGTCCACTCTTGTCTGGTCCTCCTGGTGGCTAATAACACCCAGCTGATATGTAGGTTGGTACTAAAAGGTCACTCAATGGATTACATTAGATAATGACCACCGTAGGGCTCATTTCCACTATGTTGGCATCTTTGGGTTGTCACATAACCAAGGCCTTTTGTTGGAGGTACAGTGTACTGCTTTGGAACCTCACCTTGACCAGATTGTCCACTTGAGAGGTCTAATAAAGACTTCTCCTTGATTTGGCCCTTTTCAGCCATATCACAGTGGTCTGAAACAGAAAGAATATGCTTCTTTTTTCTTTTGAACTTTACAACAGTAACTAGTGTGTTCTTTGAGTGAATCAGCCTTTTGAGCCAGGCAGTTAAAAGACTTAAATGTTGCTTGGGCTATTTGAAGTAAACTCAGTATTAGAGATGTTTAATAAAACCTCTTAGTGTTTGGGAAAGATTAATAAAAAATTGAGAATTTGTCACCTGTTGTAGGTTCTGGTATTGTGATAGCACCTATAGATGGTTGTCAGAATGAACTTGAATGGAGCTTTCTGGGTTAATTCTGGGCAATGAAGGGATGCAGCAGAGCCTGGTACCGAATTCTGATGTGAATACAATCAAAACCTTACCAGGCAGATGACTAAAGTGAACAGCTTAGGGCGAGGCAAACAATATACTCCACCCTTCATACTTTGAGTAGAACTAAGAAATGGACAATTGGTAGTAATATATGCACACATACACATGTACATATGTGTGTATATGCATACATGTATGTAGGTGTATACAGGTACACATATATGCATATAGATACACACCTGTGTTTATGGATGTACACATATGCACATACGTACACGTATTAACCACACATTTGGTTTGGCCCAGGTTAAAGATTTTGAACTTAATTTTGTTATGTTCATGCTAGGCATAAAATGCTCTATCCAGTGGGTTATTAAGCTGACAACTATATTTATCTTCATTTCAATTGTTTATTATAACTCAAGTATGAAAATATCCTGTAGGCTGAAATTTCATCAGCCAGTTTGAAGACTGGTGGCTCTTTTCTAATTTTTGAAAGGGGGTGGATGGGTAGGAGGGGACTTGAACACAGGGAGAGGCCATTGACTCCTACATTGGCCACTAATTGTGTTTGGAGAAAGAATCTGCAAATCCAAGTACATTTGGAGCCTTGGAGCTAGGTTGGCCTTTTAATGTAGGGTACCAGTGAATTTGTTTCTTAATTAGATGGAAGCTTTGGGCAAACTCTTCTGAAAGGTGTACACCTAAAAAGTCAGCTGACACCACTTGCTGTTGGAGTTGTGGGTAAGTGCTTTTGCATCGCATTAGATGACTTAAAGTTGATCTGATTTTGTTACTGTTTGATATATGTTCTGCAGTAAGGAGAGTTAATTGTACACTGGCTGCCAGTTGTTTTGAGGTGAAGAAGTGGTAACTCAGATTGAAACAATGGTAATTATGTGGTAACTTCTATTTCCCCAGCTCTTGTTAACTTGCAATTACCTCTTTGTGTCTGTTTACAGATGTTGATACCATTGAACCTGGATCGGTTCTTCCTAATGTTGGGACAGTGGCTGGAGCCCTTTGCACATCAGGGTCAGTTGAGTCAGTGTCCTTTAGTTCAAATCTGATTTTGCTAGTTCTGTTTTTGTAGGTGATAGAGGGTCTTATTTGGGTGGGGGGGGGAGCCAAA